CTTCTCCAGCCTTCTCCCTTACTTTTTCTGTTCCTTCACGAATTAGGGGAAAATAACTTGCTCTGCATGGCATCTATTCTCACCTTAGAAAATAATTCCTACTGTATCTGATGATCAAGTAATTTCAGGAAAAAGGTGTTAGACTTCCAATTCCTCTGACTAACCCCAATAGCATACAGACAGTCAGAATATTTTGACATTTTACATTCATGCAGCCTTTTTGGTTCTCATTACCTACACTTCATATTTTCTGTTAATTTCTAGTAAAAAGACACTATTAATTATTTATCCAATTGAGCATCCTAGTTGGAAGAACAGTAATTTCTGGAGACACATTAGATGAATTTTCATTGTGTTCTTTACTTTGGAGAGAGAGAACATTTCTTACTTTAAACTGCATCATGTATCCTGGCTGTATAATGAGCTCCCTGGAGGACAGGATGTTGTGTGTTTTATCCTTTTTCTTATTTGGCCAGTAGAGATGGAATGATGGATTTCCACAGAACCCTGCAGTTCTGACTGCATTAGGGTAAAAGCTCCAATTTTCTTCATGAGAGGTGCCTTCTATTAAGATGAGTTAAATAAAATTACTGCATTGTCTTGGTAAACATCAAGGCTTAGAAATGAATCCACAGAATCACTTGACAAAGTACTTTAGTGATACGGACACTACATTTATGCTATCTGTAATGACACCCAGTAAGCCACAAAGAGAGAGACATAATAAAGATATTCATTGCCAGAGAGTTAATTAAAATGTTTAAATTAACAGTATTTTTTAAAAATATGATGAGCATAATACCAGAAATGTAAATGAAATGAGTTAGACCGAAATAAAAATTTTTATATGTACATACATGTGGACATACATCTGAAGATACATGTGTGTGTATATATATATATATACACACTTATATTAATAACATATAAACAGCATTAGTCTACAAAATGAAAAATTTGCAGGGTTAAAATAGAAGAAAGTCTGCTTGCAAGCTCACAGGTCTCAGGTAAGATAAGAACAGATAACGCCAGACAACAGGTGAGCTGTGGCAGCCTGTTTTACCATCATCAAAGGTATCCACCAGCTGGCTGGGGTTGATCTCTGCTCCCCCGATCAGGATGTTATCCAGAGCCCACTGTGCCCGCTCGGGGCCGGGCACCACGATGCCGCTGCTGAGCGTGAAAGGCTGCCACCAGCGCAGGCGCGTGGTGTTGGTCAGGGCGTGCTCGGGGAGGAGGATGTAGTCGTGCCTCACTGAGATGTACTTCTGGTAATCCATCTCGTGGAGCAAAGTCCAGGATATCCCTAGAATGAAAAGATGCAAGTTTAGTGATAAAACCAAGCATATGGTAGAATCTGCTGAAGGATTAAATTAAGATAATAGAAAATAAAAAGTAATAGATATGGTCTTCTGATAGAGCTTAACTTTTAAAGGCAGTTGGCAATTGTTACTCACTGCAAGAGTAATCTTGTAATTGTAAAAAGGAATAATCAACTTGGGTGGAAGCCACTAATTACTGAAATAAGGCAGTAAGATTATGGAAAACTTCTGAGCAATAGATGGAACTTTTAGATGGGGAAAAACCTTCACACAGACATAAACAGCTTTACAATTAAGAATTACCTTTTTATTTTGGATCTCTGACAACTTGTCAGGTATTCATGGTGGATGGATACAGAACCAGACTGTAGCTCAGCTATAAATACAGTATGTACTTGCCTCCATCAATGGAATAGTCCAGCAGCACTCCTTCCTTTCTGCAAGTTGGTCTGTGGCATGTTGTCATGTTGTTTTCACTCCCAATTCTTCCCCAGTACTGTAGAAACCTAAGAGTAAATGTATATGATCACATCTGTTAGACTTGCACAAACAGAGGTTGATTTCTGTTAACACACATGCTGAAATTGTTCCAAATGCCAGCATTTTAAAGCAAGGTACATTGATGCACAAGTACTACAAAGGTTTCCAAAAACATTGTCTAGTAATTTGCATGGGAACCTCATGGAATCCAACTAAGAACTGCCCCTGTGAGGGAATAAACCATTGCAAATGTACTAGACAGGGACAGGCTGGATGGGAGCTGCTTTGCTTAGAGTTCCCTGAGAATCCAGGTGGAATGGGAGATCACCATGTGTTAAGGTGCCCTTGAATCAATGAAGGACACAAAAAAGTTGATAAACTGAGGCAAGTTGGTGGAGGACACTGGTGTGGTAGGAACCAGAGCTCAGAGCCAGAGATCATACACTGAAGAAATAGGAAGTTCCAAATGGATTTAACAGGGAAAAAAAAAAAAAAAAAAAAGAAAGAAAAAAAGAAAAATAATCACTCCGAGAGTAACTGAACACTAGTACAAGTGTTCCAGTACAGACAGACAGTAGGATCTCTGTTCTTGGAGGTTTTTAGAGATCCAATGGGACAAAGTCCTAGGCAAACTGCCCTGAATTCCATGTTTCCTGGCCTTGAGCATGAGGTGGGACTAGAGACTCCCTGAGGCCCCTTCCTTCCTGTAATTAAGCAAAATTGCAAAATTTAAGAAGTCAGAGTGTGTGGCTTCATTAAAGCCATATGGTCAAGAGAAATGATGCTGAAGTTGTTGTCTATGTCATGTCCTTAGCTTGTCTAAACTGACAGAGATCCATTGCACCCCTGATAAGTCATCCTTTCCAACAGCATAGAAGTGGAATGGATCTTGTATGGGCACCCAAGAGAGAACAACCAGCAGAGGTTCTGCTCTGAACTCAGTGAGAGACACAGCTGGTCCCCAGCAGTGATGCCCTGCTGACTGGTGTCCTGCCTCTTTGCAGGCCAGAAGTTGCTGATTCCAGGACATTTCTGCACAAAGGGACCTGCTTCTTCACCTGGACATGTCAGACTCTTTCCAGTGTGCTGGGCTGAGCCTTGCTCAACTCTGTGACTCATCTGAAAGCATCAGTGCCTTGAGAATCACAATCCCAGCACCCTGGGAATCATCATCTCCTCGGTGTCTGCCTCAGGTAGTGCTGTTCCTGTGGTGGCCTAGGAATTCCCTGAGCTACCAGCTATGCTCCCTGCTGCTCTGCCAGTGCATGACAGAGCTCCCCGTGACAATGACGTGGAGCCATGACCTACTTTGCCCCCCGCAGGTCCAGATCTTGAGTGACAGCCTGCCTCACGGTTGCACCTCCAAAATACAGAGTCGTGTCTTCTGCGAGAATTCCACACTCGGTACAGGTATTTCCACCTTCTAAGGACATCCATAAATCTGGTTTAATTTCCTCATTGTCAAAGCGCTCTTTCAGGAAGGTCTGTAAGTAAGGTATTTAACATGAATGTAAGTAAGATTTTAAGGCTTTTTGACAACCACAGCTAGAACTGACCTAAACATGTTTGAAGGCTCAAGAACACTAAATTTTTTTCTCAGGGTAACAGAACATAATCACTTCTGGCTGAATAGTTAGCCACTTAAAGTGAATTGGCTAAATTTGAAAATATATTAGGGCTGGATTTTTACATACTTGGGAGGTAATGCAGCAAATAAAAATTGGCATGTGCAAATGAGTGAGCATATTGGGTTTATGTGGCAAGGTTTTGATGGCAGAGGGCAACAGTAGAGGACTTCTGTATGCATGGGAGAAAAAATATTCTATATCTTTCCTCAGCAAAACCAGGGATCCTGGCATTGAGTTAGCAGTAAAACTCCCCTAAAATTGCTACCATTTTATCCTAAGTGTCCTTAAAGTGATGGATACCTTACTAATTAAAAATTGCAAACAGACAATGATATTTGTTCATATAATTAGTATTTCAGATGAAAACCAAAAGGTTATAATAATTCAAATTACATGACAACTGACAAGTTAGTTAGTTATTTTAAACTTTAAATTAGCAATATCTAACCAGAGTCTACTTCATTGTTTCTGGAAAAAATGAGTAACAGCCAAACAGCCACATGAATTAATTTTCTAATTTTATGTCATTTTCCTTTACTCCCTACTTCAGTAAGCTCTTTCACACTAAAGACAATCTTTCCATTTTGTTCAAATACAACCGGGTGTGCAAGGGTGATTTACATTTTATAATGATGATTAAAAGATGAACAATGAACTTCATCACAGCTTTTTCAGGCTAATCGTTATTTTCAAAGCAACAAACCCATTCTTCAATAATGCAGTAATAGTTTTGTTACAAAAACTGATGAAAGGGCTGAAAAAGGATTTAAAGGATTTGACTGTCTTCAGGCTGACAGGAATCACAGCTAAACTTCCGGTGAGATAAATGTCTCCTCTCTCTCCTTCCCAGTCAAACACATGCCAAAATTCATTCTTTAAAACATGCAATAGAATTACCTTCAGTGTCTGGGTCAGGTAGCAGTTTGGACCCGAATACCCAGGATCACAGATGCATTGCTCATTCAGGCAGTCTCCATGACCTCTACAGTTTTCCAGACAACCAGGGCCCAGATAGAAATTATCAATGGCCCACTGCATATCTGAGTATTTCTGGTAGAACCGAAACCTCACGGGACTAGATATAAAGGAGTGAAGAAAACCATACATATGTATAAAACAATTTTGCTCAATTGAAAAAAGGTGATTAAACACAATATAATCATGACTGTACTAGCTTCTGAGCTTCCACAAGTAGTGGAAGTATCTGTTGAAATTGATTTTTTTACATATCCACAATGTAATGAACATGAATGCTGCTATTCTGAAATTTCCTTGAAAGAAAATGAATAGGAAGATGTCCTGTTGTGTCTCCAGGAAGGTACTCAATCCTAGATAAAATGAGTAGCAAATTCATACTTACTTGCCCACAAGGCTTTCAGGCAGTGTGTAAGTTACTCTTTTCCATCCTTTTGTGGGAAAGAAGACAGATGGCTGTGAGACACTCCCAGAACATTTTGGGTCAGCTGGTAAGCACTGAGGCACTAAGTAACTCCAGCTAACGCCAAAGTCAGTGGAATACTGCACATGGACCTGATTTTGTGCAACTTTTTCTGAGGGTTTACATCCAACAGACACCTAATAAAGAAGAGACCATCAGTAATTAGAATTAATTGTGGTGGGGGAATTTAAAAAAGTGTTTGAACCTGAAAACGGATGGCAGACTTTTGCTTGAAATGATGGCAGTAACAGTGCCTGTATGGTACCACTCACCTGCAGGTCTCTGATATTCTCAAGACTGAGAATAGGCACCATACTGTGAATTTTTTTTCCTCTAGACAGCTCACATTTCTGGATTTCCAGGTTTTGACACTCATGCCTTAGACCCCAGTACCACAGAACAAATAAAGTTAATATTCCATCCCACGCAACCAGAGATTTGAATATTTCAGAGAAGGCCACAAATTAGGGAGACCATATTTATGGATGGATGTGCAAAGGGTTCTTGAAATTTCCATATATTGCTGGGTTATTTTCTTAATTTAGGTAAAGGGCTGTACAAAGGCCAGTTTGGGTTTTGTTTGATGTGAATGCATGACAACACAGGAGCAGAGTGAACTACTGTGGAGCTGCTTTTTCCTCACCAGCAGTTGTAACAAAATAGGCACCTGGCAGATGTGCAATATCCTTATTACATGATGTCCATAGAACTGCAGTGCTGGAATAGAAGAATGTGTCACCTTTGAGAACAGCCTGTGATATTAAAGCTGACCGACACAATGTAAGTGAGAAAAATGAGGATGGCCTAATAACCATATTTTTCCCAGCAGGGAATGGCTCCTGTGTATGCATATACATCACCCTTCCTCCTGAAAGATCTACTTAGACCTGGAAGAAAATGTGGTTTTGAGTAATTTTACTGCAGACAGATTTTACCTTGAACTGCATAATCCAGCCTTCTGTAGGAGTCAGGTCGTGGGTGACTGCATAGACCTCTCTGCCATCATGGCTCCCGCAGATCATGACACCATCAGGAGAATCACAAAATCTCTCAATTGAGCAATCGTCATGGAATAACCAGTGTTCATTCACTTGAAAATAAATTGCAATGTCAGTAATATTCAGTGACAATATCAATTAAATAGGGAGTAGTGTTAACCACAAAAGGTGATTCATAGCTTTATTTTTCAGCCTACATGAGAATTATTTAGTATTGCTCCTGAGAATGTCAGTACCCTGTTTTTCCCATGTAAATATGTGTTACATTTATCACACTTACTGCTGAAAGCACCTCTTACTGCTCACTTACACAAGCAATACAGCATTATTTTTTAATATTAAAGAAGTAAGGATCTGAGACTTAAAATATGAACATCTACTGCACTGAACATTTTGGGAGAGTCTTTTCATGGGTTTTGCCTACATGTCTGCACAAAGTGTACCCCAGCACTGGTAGCTGTTAAGCCTAATAAACATACAAAAATGCGTCTTCTACAAAATTTAGTTGTAAAATATAACTTAAATTCCTTAAAGAATATTTTAATATGTTAGAAAATAGGGAATAGACACTCAGGATAAGAAATTTGCTTAGAATAACCTGTCACTTTTAAATTACTTTTTTTTCTTTTAAAATAAATTAACCTTCTAGATGCAGTAAAAAAACTGCATTACATCTTTTCATTTTCAAAAGACAAGGCCTCTATAGCAATGGGATTTTCTGTGATTGCCATCACAGTGAGACAAAGATTCAGAGGCTCAGCAAGACCTGCAAATCACTGCACTGGCTTCTTGCTCCTTAACTGAGCCGCAGTGGAAGCTTTACCCGTGGTTTTGTCCTCCACGGCCATGTCGAAGGCGATCCTGCCGGTGGGCCCCGCGTCGGCCGGGGCGCGCTCGTGCTGCGGCAGGGGAGCGCTGCTGAAGGTGTCGAGCATCACCGTCCTCTGGTCGGCCGAGCCCGAGATCAGCACGTTGTCGATGGCCCAGTCGTTCTGGTCCAGCCCGTCGTGCTTGGGCTGCCACCAGCGGAAGCGTGTCCCGATGGCTTTGGCATCGTAGGGAAGGAGGATGTTCACAAAGCTGGAATAAAAGCTGGGAATTAGTTGTAGGAAAGCTGCAGGAAAAAGACACATTGCAACGCTCTGTGCTGGGTGCTTTGACCAAGTCCATTCCCAATGTTTCCCAGAACACGTGGAATTTGGGAAAGAAGAAAAAGACCGGTCTAGCCTATATTCCTCTAGGAGATATTTGTGAAACAAAAATCTTTCTGATCACTCCCAATGTCATCCCTGGGACAGGGGCTCAGAGAGAGGTGGAAAGGGTCAGCACCCAGACTGTGGCATGGTTTGAACAACCTCACTTGCTCCAGGTGTCCTTATGGGACCGAATGCAATGGTCTGGACTAGCAGGGCCTAGCCATAACATCCTTATTAAGGGAAGTGTTAAGAAGGAGAGTGTACAAGTGAAATAAAGATTGCTTTTTTCAACCTGGAGCCATTCAGCAGATAGTAATGTTCCAGTATGATTTTATGTGTTCCATTGCAACAGTAGAAAATAGTACACTGAAATCTCATGTCCAGTTAAAGGGCTAGTTATTTCTTGGTGTGCTCGAATAAAAACAAATAATGGGTCCTTCCCATCCCCATTTTCTGTGACTCTTTTAAATTGGTCAGTCAGAAAATGGTTGGCTCCCATATATGCATGATTTGAATCTCACAAACATCTGAAAGTAGAGCTTGAGTGTATCCATCCTTTTGATGGATAACTGCAGAAGCCTAGCCACACCATTTTAGAACTAACTTATAAGAATCAGTGATTTTATGATCTTGCCAATAAAGAAATAGACTGCAAAGGTTAGCAGCTTTAAGAACAGGATGGACATCACTACAGTAGCTATTCAATTATCTTCATGCAACCATTCACAAATCTACCAGACTGCTAGGCTCCTAGGTATTCTTGTATTTCTGGCCTAGCAGCTGCACAAATGTTGATGCTCTCAATACATGCCAAGGACATTAATAAACACCTGTAGGACTGTACAAGCTGAACTCATACATCCCAGCCTGACATCCAAACCACAGCACTATATATCCCACAGATTCTGGTGAAACATTCAAGAACACCTGACTTTAGCAGAGAAATTTACACAGGTAGAAAGAAGGTATCTACAAACCCAGGCTTGCTGAATTGATCATAGAAAATCTCCATTAAGAGGCTCCAGGTGATTCCACCATTTACAGAATACTCCAGCAGCACTCCTTGGTTGCGGTTGTTAGGAGTTATCAGACATCCATACATGAAATAAAACTGGATGAATTCTGCACTGGTGAGATTCAAATCCACTGTAACTAACATACGGCTGCAGCCCTTAAAAGCAATGAAAAAAGAGGTTGGCTGGTGTTGTCTGGCAAAAAATTATGTTCATAAAAAGTGTTAGACTATGCAGTCACTATTAATGTGGATTCATATAACAAAAATTTTAAAATTGTACAAAATTTTATGAATTATTTCAAAGGTAAAGCTACAACTGAACAATATATATTTTTTTCCCTGAAGACATAATTTCAGTCATGTTTCATCTTAAAAATTTCTGTTGTGTATCTATATATGTTGCTACTTGTACCTTCAGTTTTACAATATTCATGTATTTGTATTCACCTTTCTTCTTAATACAAAAGTTGCAGAAATCCATGCCTCCATTGTAAATCGTGAAGTTCTCCATGCAGAATTAATGAATCACTGATTATGTGCTAATGATTCAACTTATACAAACCATCAAATGGCAAAGCAATTTTAGTATGTGTATTTTCCACAATACCTTACATATTTCACATTGCTTAGTCTGTTAGCTGGTGTCTACTTAGTCCTACTTGAATGAAGTGGAAATGTAATGCTTCTGTTAGTTTATTTTAGAAAACTTTTGTCAGTTTGAACTTAGTTATAAATTTGACAGAAGACATCTACCAGCATAAATTTTACATGTTTCTAAACTAAAATACTATTTCATCATTTTTATAATCCTGAGGTTATCTGTTAGCAAACTACAGTTCAACAGCAGTCAGGGTTATATATCTACATATGTAGCTAATCTAGAAAATTTTACTGTGAGCTTACTCTGAAAACACCCACCTGTGAGACATCTGAAGGATGAGGCTACACATGGATGCAATGTGCTCTAGGGTGACCCTGCTTGAGCAGGGAGGTTGCCCAGATTACCCACTGTGGCCCCTTCCAACCCAGCCCATTCTGTGTTTCTGTGGCTCTGTATTGTCAAGGACCATGTGCAAATTATACAAGTGCAAATAGCTAGTTATTAATTTACCTCTGGTCTGATTAGCAGCCACACCAAACTCCAGTCTGAAAGTTTCAAGTGCTATGAGGAGGGACTTAGGAGGAAAATTAGAAGTCTACGTTTTTATACTTGGCTTTAACCTACCAGCTCCACTTTCAAAGGCCCCCTTACAGCTCCTCTCAGGACCCCCACACACTATAATTCTTTTTCCTGGCTGCAGCATATCAAGGAACACGGTATCAGCTTTCCTGGAGTGTTTCTGGCTGATCCTAGTCTGTAGGACCTATTTGACTTCAACCTTCAGCCAGGCAAAGATCTAATTTTTAAAAATATTTTATATGTCTGATATGTTACACTATTATTTTTTAAATGCTTTGCTATTTAACTTTTAAAATCAGTCCCACTTATAGCGTCAAATGGAGCGAGCTGGTCCCTGTGCTGGACACACACCCCGCTGAAGTGAAGAGCCATCCCAGAGGCAACAGCCCCGCAGACTGTGCTCAGCTTGCCCCCGTTCACTGTCAGCCAGTTCTGGTTCGAGGGGGAGCGGTTGAAGTTGTCCTTCAGCTGGGTGGGAAGGGGAGTCTCTGGCTCGTCGCAGTACAGCCCACCCCAGTGCTCGTCGCAGCTGCAGAGCAAAACAAATGCACAAATCAGCTGGCAAAGGCTCTGCGTGCTACTAAGGTACCATCTTATTCTGCAGAGAGGCATCATTTACTAGTGCACAACTGGCATGTGGGGGTTTTAAACATCTGGCGTTTTGGAGTTAATATGAAACAAAAATGACATTTTTAAAGGCTTAGTACTGTGTATCATTCAAGCTTCTCATACAGGGCACACTCCCAAACACGGTAAAAGCAGTGAAACACATTGTGCTTGGATAAATAAACCAAGAGAACGTGCCAAGCCTAAAAATGTCCCACTGATGTTAAAGTTCAAGTTTCTGTAAAATTTTAGGAGATGGGTGTTTTCTTATCTTTATATAGTTCTCTTTTTTTTTTGTTTTGTTTTTTTGGGTTTTTTCCCCCCTCTGAAAAACATTCTTGTAATGTGTCAAAGACTGGATAACAGCTTGGAACTGTGTTCTGCTACAAAGAGATTTCACCAGGGATAGTGTGTCTTGGTACTGCAGTGTTGTCAGGATAGAGGAGAACACAATAATATGTCTACTCTATGCAGTGAAATATATTTCTAAAAAATACAGTCACAGTGCAATTATACAACCATTCTCCCATTTCTGCTGCCATTTGTGGCTGGAAAAAAAGCAATACATCCATCTGGAAGGTATTTCTCTGTTGCCAAGACAGGCAAATCTGGGGGTTGTTGTTTGCTAGCTTTGCAGGACTCTGTGTGGATTGTTATGCAAACAGTTTGAGGATCAAGCCAGTCTGCCTTTCCTGGCAAACCCTACCATGGAGCAGAGTCACCAGATCATCAAGATACCACCAGTCAAAAAACAAATTCTGGCTTTGTGAAGAACTGGCATACATCTTGCTTAGTTGGATATGTCCCACCTCCAGCCCAGGTTCTCTGCACCCAGGACCAGGTTAAGAGCACCGGGACATGGTGTGAAATCCCTTGGGAATAAGGAGAACATATTCTGGGAAGCTCTAGACTGTATGTCCCAAGAGGGCTAGGCAAACTCAAGGGGTACCCTTTCCCTACCCTGGTGGGAGGGGAATTGATGCAGCAGAGGCAAAAGCAGAGGTGATGCATTGCCACTGAGGAAAAGACCGTCTGCTTTGGCCATGGAGCATGAACAGTCAGAGGTCTGGCAGGGCCAACCCCTGCAGTTCCCCTTCCACTTGTTGCTTCTATTCCAAGTGGACCCAGTGCCCTGCTCAGTTTTAACAGCAAAATCCACCTTCCTTTGTAGAATTGTATCACAGTTTTCCCTGCAAATTCATCAGAATGACAGAGGGGGAGTGAAATGCTACAGCCCTGGGCAGGACAGGGAACAGATGGCACTCACACACAGTTGTCTTGTGTACACTTCCCATGGCCACTGCACATGTCTATGCAGCCATCCCCGATGTAGACATTATCGATTGCCCACGTTTGCTGCTTGTCAAAAGGAGCAGGCTGGTGCCAGCGGAAACGAGTTGCTTGAGACCTTGTGAGAGAAAGAAAAACATAATTCTGTATATTCTAGCTAAAGTAATCTTTATTTTGATTGAAAGGATATGTTAGTTTTGAGGCTAGCCTGCTCTTGGAAGATTTGTTTGCTGCCAGCATGACCCAGGGCTGGTTTCTGACAATGACAACATCCCTCCAAGGAAAGCGTGTCCAGATTTTGAGAACAGAAAAAAACATGGGTGCTTGGTATCAAGCTGAGAGTGTGGAAGGTAGGAAATGGATCACTGGTGAAAGCAAAGCAAGTGGGCCATGGTCGGTGCAGTGGAGAGGAGGGTAGGAAGAAGGTGATATTTCCAAGTTGGAAGCTCAGGCCAGTCATAACCATGTCCCAGCACAGATACAATCCTGAGGGACAGCTAGGAGCAGCATCAAGCCAGAATAATCCAAACCCTCCAAGTTTCATCCTGAGCCAGTCAATAAGCCCCAGCCAACCAATTTACCTGACTTTTTCCTCTATGAACTCTCCCAATCACTCTTAGGTTCAGAGCAGTTCTAGGGAGTGGGTTTGGTGAGAAGGCCCATGCAGGGCTTGTAGCATGACCCTGGCTTTGCAGTTTCTTCCTTCCCCTCCACCCAGGGCTTGGCTGGAAATGCTAAGAAATTATCTGTAGTGTGATCCTGGGTCTACTGAGTAAATTATACTAATTTGTTGATTAAATTTGGCTTAGCTACCTATATGTGAATTGTTTCAGCTCCCAAGATAGATGATGAAAATCTATCCAAAAGAGTCAGGGGACACCAAATAGTTATTCAGCTCATGCAGGTGTAGACTGTAAGTCAAGAGCTGTGAGTAGATTAATTTCTGTAATTGTGAATTCAAGCTAATCTCTTTTTTGTGATGCAGCACTAGATGGCAGCATTGAACTTTTTGTAGTCTATTTTCTTTTGAATCTCAAAGAGAAATCACAATTATTATAAAAATAAAATTAAAAAAAAAAAAAAACACCAAACTAAACTAAACTAAAAAACCAACTCAAAAAACCCCCAGCAAAACCCCCAAAAACTATTCAGCCTAAAAATGGACCTCATATGTTAAGGTCATTATTTTCCCATGAATTATTTCTTTATGAAAATGCTGTATGAGCTGAATAAATAACTTGTTTATCCAGAGAGAAATCTACTGCTCTGAGCTCATCTCAGCCGTTCACTAAGCAGCATTTTAAAAAATACACGTAAAAATTGTGAGGAAGTCCTTTCAGAATAAAGACAAGCACCTATATCTTACACTGCCTGCTTTGGCTAGGCACATCACTAACAATTCATGAAGCTGATGCTCCTGTGGGAAGCTTTGTATTTGGATTTGCCTTTTAAAATCAGCTCCAAGTTAAAAGTAAGTGTCCATTGCCCACTCGAGACCAGCGGTGAGGTAGCACTCTGGAGTGCAGAAGCCCTAAGAGGCTGCACAGACAAGGGTGGTGAGCAGCAGGCCAAGCTACTGACTACACAGCCTGCATGTGCCTAAAACATACAGGCATAAACAATTGGAGACACACACCCGCTATTACACAGCTTGAAATAATAAAGCAGCATAAAAATTATATTGCATCTAGACTAAAAGGCCCGTTAGCTGCACTGTTCTTATCCTAAAGCTCAAGGTCTCTCTTGCTTATGAAAAAAGGTTGTAATAACCTCTCTCATGGAATGCCTGTTTTAATAACTTTGGGAAATGGTATTACTTGAGCCAAAAAAACCAATTATGGGATTGGACAGAAGTGCAATTTTTGCCTCAGTAGGGCATCAGACTTCTTGTGACATACACTGTTCAAGATACTCTTCAGTCTTAAAATCACCGTTATTTATAAACCTGAATTTATCTCAGGTGGTAGCTTCCTTTCAGGTCCAAATTCAATTGGTTTGGAACATCAATCCCAGCCTTGACTCATCCCATTCAACCCCAGAAAGACTACTCTGAACACAAATTTACAGTCTTTACACAAGAACTGACAGGGTAATGGATTTTTACAGACGTATGTAGCAAAGCCACACAAAAGAGGAAGCACAGAAAATTCATGCTGGGAAGAAGTCCTAAAAAAAGTGCTATTACTTGATGTAACAGCACCAAAGAGAGAGAAGAGTCCAGATGCCCCAAATGATTAGTAACAGAACATGGACTTTTTCATTACTAATGTCAAAACGTGTAACAACTGCATAGGCCCTTCCAGTACAATTAGTAAAAAATAAAGGCCTCTGTTTCCACACTTGTATGTGCCTTTGGTGGTGTTTTCCATGACAACCATCTCAAGGCTCTGCCTGTGCTTTGATACTTCTGAGCCAGCAGTTAGCTCAGCCTATGTCTATGTGAGGACATAAGGCTCAGCAGGAGGAGCAAAGCTGTGGAGTCAAATAGTGCTGAGATCCTGATGCCCTTGCTACCTGTGTTTGCAATTTCTATAGGAGAGAGCTTCATTTACTTATACTTATTTGTTGCTATTTACATGGACAAAACAAAAAGGACAAGGTACAGTTGCTTAAACTCCATAGTGCATCATGGCATTATAAATGCCTAGTTATGCTTTTAGATTTATTCTGCAGAAAACCAGAGGGAGTTACCTAGTATAGGGAGGCAGAGGCAAAGTAACCCGGGTCCACTTGTTGAAAGTGTCTGAAATGAGAATCCTCTGGAGATGGTACTTGTTGCATTCCACATTAGTGGGAAGACAGTCTTTCAAAATTGGGTGCCAGGTCAGCCCAAGGTCCACCGAATATTCCAGTTCAATAGCTAAGGGTGAAAAAGTGGTTAGTTACTTAATTTAGAGACCTATATCCATAGGCCTATAATAAAGTGCAAGCCCCAGACAATATCACAACTCTGAACTGACAAAATAACCACCCAGAACATTTCAAACCCTTGTGTCAGAAGCACAAAGCTACCTCCTTTGGTGGCAGTGTGGGAGGGTGTGTTACATGTTGCTGAACAGGTACAGCTCAGATGGAGTCTGTAGCACATCTCTGCATCTGCCACTTAACTCAAGGGACCACAGATGAAAAGACAGAGCCAACATTAAGCTGCCAGGATTAAGTCAAGACAATGTCTGTAGCTGAAGCATGCAAGAAAATGATGTGACAGCACCATGACCACCAAACTTTGTTTTTCAGGCTTGAAGAGTGAGATTCAGCTGGATGTGATTGCTGTGTAAAGCAGAGCAACACTCAAATTCAAACTTTTGGCTGTCACAAGATGGCTTAGTCAGCCTTCCACCCTTCCTGCAGACCAGCTCATTTAATTCAGCACAATTTTAATTTGAGTTTGTTAGTCAGTGAGCTTGTTTCCATTCAAACACAGTCTAGCCACATTAAACTAATGTATTCATTTCTCAGCGAAAATCAGCAATTTCATTGTTTTGATGTTTATGGCTTATAAGCTTTTATTACAAAAATTAAAGGTTAGTCAAGCTCACTAAATACTTCAAGTCAAACTTCCATGCAGCCATGAAAATGTAAATAATAATAGGTGCAGAACTGGTACTTGAAGTAAATGTTCCAGCTGCCAGGTATTCTGGCTGAGCTGACTGCATAAAACATGGAACGTGGTTGCAGTGATAGAGGTGATAAATGTGTGATCTTCTTTTGGTTACTAACAGACTCATTTCTTCTACCCTCATGCACAAGGAATGACCCTTAATGACTCAATCAGTCCTGCTTGATGTTTCAGCACAGAAGACAGTGCTGTAGAAAGGACAAGTAGACACAAACAAGGGTAAGTGAGTTTTTAGTGTTAAATTTCCCTCACCAAAAGAAATGCTTTCTCATCATGACTGGAAGCATGATTAGGTAGTGTCCTGCCCAATTTAATATAAAGTTAAGATAATGATAAGGGTTGTAGACAGAGAAACAAACAAATCCCCCCAACAAAATAAGGATCTATTTCTTTGCCAGTATACGGCTCAGTCACCAAAATACTTCTAAACTTAGCAGAGATGATCTCAGGATACCACAGTATTCTTAATAACAAAAGAAAGAAAAATTTTTAAGCATGTGAGTAGCTTCAGATTAGCAAAATTAGAAAAGCTAAATCTGGGACTTCATCTAAAACCTTTTTCCATTTTTATACATACCACATGATACAATGTATTGTATTCTTGTCCTCATTAAAAATATCTATACCTCAAAACCCTACTAAGAGGATGTGTAAAGCAAGCATTAAAAAGCTTGTTTTTAAGAAAAAGCTATTTATTGTGTGCTATAAAATTCACATAATGAACCAAATTTTAATTTCCATATGATGTTTATTGAGTACAGAGCATGTTTTTATTAATTTATGTATACATGTGTATATACATATGTAAAAGCTGACTCTGCACTCAATATACATCATATGAAAAAAGAAACCTAGGTAATTAAAAATTGCATCATTATGTATATGTAAATGGATATATACACATGTGCATAATATGTATGCACACATTCATACATGGAAACATATAGGTCTATACATATTTATTATTTTATATGGACAATATAAATGTTTGCAGTTGATGCTGCCTTAGCAAGTGTCAGATTTGTGTTGATATAAATGATTTCTTAGGTATATGGGTACAAGTGAGATCAGAACTGAGACTACACTGAAAATGCAAAACCACAAAGCAAGAAACATGCTGAACACCCAGCTGCTTATTATTACACCACCACCCCAAGCAGTGGACATTATCTACTAAATAGATTTGAATAAGGCAGCTGTTGGTCTTTTTCTGAGATGGATTGAACTGCAACTTAGATGCTCACAGGGAATAATTTACTTCCGTTTATTTTAGGCTTCAGATACCTGGATTAAAAAAGATGATGTTACAGTTTCTAACAGAAACACACAGCTTTCTTTTGTTTCTAAGTTCTTGTTATGATGAATAATGTAACCAGAAAACAAGTGAACTTTCCTCTGCAGTGGAGGAAGAGGAATGGCAGGGATTACTAAGAAGTCATTACCATAACAGGAATCTGTGACAGAGCAGGAAGCTGCAAAATCTATTTGCAAGAAGGAGTCTTCATTGACAACGATGTCAGTGGTGACGACGTAGCGGGTGCTGGCTTTCTCAATGAACACCAGAGCATCCCCAGCAGAGCCACAGACCGGCATCTTTGTTCCACCAGGGTGGAGCAGCCACTTCCTACTATCCAGGGTGGTGAAATCATCTTCCAATATTGTATTGCCAGAGATATTTCCTCCAATAAGAATCTGAAACATTAGGAAAGAAATTGTTTCTGATAAGGAAAAATGTCTATAAGTCTTCACAAACATACAAGTTACTCAGCAACCTGAGGGAGGAAGAGATGTACCAGACTATGTGTATTTATTCTGCTGGTCCAAAATTGACATCATTACTTAGTAGAGAATTTTGTCCATGTGAAAGGGGAGTATCTCTTTCCTGTAGAGGAAAGAGATTGGCTCAGTTGTACAAATCTAAAATTCAGGGAGGCGACCTCCAATCTCAATGAAGTAAAACTGCTCACCAAAAAAGTGTTAGCAGAAACAAACTGATTGCACTTTCCTAGTGATTGTTCAGCTCTTCTATTATCTGGTGCACTGCTATCACATCGTGTCAGCTGATAGAAGTGGGGAAATAGCATCTGTTTTTTCATTGACTATAAAACATCATAATTTTACTATTCAACAGCAAGCAAGGTAGAACTATTTTTCATTTGTTATTCTGAATTCAGTTTCTGATTGTTCTGAAAAAATATAACTACATTCCATGAAGAATTGAAACAATGAGTAAATTTTAATTTCTAAACAGAGGGATGGGAAGTAAAATTTTGTAACCACAACATTAAAATGGCTGGTTAGGTTTCTCCTAACAATCTGAACTAACTTCTTTAAAAAAAAGTAATAAATATGAAAGCAAATTTTACTTGGACAACCCAATGACACTACTTAGAGCATAGTAATTTTAGAGATAAATCATTTGTGATCTATACCAAGTCATACAAAGTAATATAATAATCTTTATAGCAGAAAATCCCAAATATGAAACTTTATTTTCATAAAATTGACATTGATATTCACAAGATTGATATTTCCCAATAGTCTTTTTCTATTACATTATACCAAGTCAATTACATATTTGGAAACATTTTAAATGAAGGTTTTTGAAGTTTGAAAACAGACTTGCATTTTGTGTGGTAACACCTCCTGCAATGTGAAGCCGAGGCTCTACACATGTGTAAAAGAATTTCCTAGAATCAAAATGGGCAATCAGTGCCCCTGAGTTCATCAAACAGTAATTGCACTCCAAATACCTTTTTAATAAGCATTTTTCATTGTCTCAGTGAAATTATACATGCCAAAAAAAGAGAAACATTAAGGCTGAATCCAGTCTAAGGTTGTGTTAAAAGAAGAATTCCTCACCTGGTCGATCACCCAGGGACTGTAGAAATGCCCATTCTCGGATGGTTGCCACCAGCGGAGCCGCGTGGAGCTCGAACGGGCCTTCAAGGGAATTTCCAGGGCAATGTATCGTCCCACGTTGCTGGAGTTACTGAAGAGGAACTCCTGGAGAAGGCTCCACGTGAGGCCCCCGTTGAGTGAATACTGCAGCAGCACAGGCTGGCTCCTGGGGTCAGGTACCCCCTTTCCACATCCCAGTCTCATGAAGAACTGCACAAATCTAACAGGAAAAATCTTTCCACTTACCAGAAAGATCTATTTTCTACAACATCCTACACAGCTAGCCAGAGAGCCTTGGAGTTTTTCTCTTGACTAGCCCTGTTTTCTAGCTGTAAGAGCCATCTTTAGGAGATTTTATGATTTTCTTTCCAAATCTTATAACTAGACAGACAGGTGGTATGACAAAAATTCATTTTGCCTGTGTGGTAGTTTGCCAGGCATAAGAGGCTGAACAAAGCTGGTCATTTATGTTTTCAGCTTTTGTCTGCATAGCAGATGGTGTTGCAAGTATCAGAAACATAATCCTGGGTGAAATTTTTATCCCTGTATCCCATGAGTACAGATTTTAGTGGCAGAAAAGCAACTGTGCTCTAAGTAGATCATAATTTGCTACGAATTTGCTGAAATGCTTAAATTCAAAATAAGCATCCCAGTTTTCCATTGGCATAAACCAGAGAAAATCTGGACGGGAGAACAAAGCACATTTCACTTTCAGGGATCATTTTGTCCATTTTGTCAGCCTGGGAAATTTGTCTAAATTACACCGTTTAAATGTGCCGGCTTCCCTGAAGCCAGCGCAAGCCACCCAGGGACACCAGTGCTTTCATCCCCCAGTTAATTGGCTTCTCCAAAGCTGCACAATAGACTTGTATCAAACTGAGAAATCCTCCCCGTCAGACGATGCTCATAAATAGCTCCACTTTGCACTTCGAGTGGAGGGAACCGCGCTGTAATGATATTTACTTACTGGACTTGCAGGGATATTATAAGTATTAATTCATGTTTGCACAGCTTTTGCACAGCTTTAGAGTGTTTTTTTCTGTTCTAATTAGTGCTGCATTAGTGCTGCCTGCTCACGGTTAAATGAAATGATGCAAAAGAAGTTTTATATCAAAAATCTTGTTCTGGTTTGATCTGCAGGTAGATCTGTTGGGAGTGGAGGCTGCAGAGATGCTGGGCAGACAAAGCTCCAATAAAATGCCAGACTTGAAAGTAAATTAATTCTAGTCCTCACTGCGACTCAGTTTTTCTTGCTACTTGATATATCTGCTTTTGCTATAGATTATATTCACCTCCATGTCCCAGACATAACATATTGCTTGTGCAGTAAAGGAGCACTGGGTACCCTCATGGATCAACATATCAAATGTAATGGATTTGCTTCACTGCTGGGAAGTCTTTCTGCCTCCTCAGATTTACTCCAACATTCGCCACATAATTCAAATGAAATAAACCCAGGTGACCCTGTCTCTATTGCATCTGATTTCCTTGCATTGCTAGTCTTACATTTCCGATTTTACTAATGTAGTAATAACCCACCCAAATAATTGTAGCAATGTCTAACAGATAAAAAAAAAGTTAAATATCTCTCTTCTTATCCCAAAGATATTTTGCAAAGGCTTTACCTATTTTGTAATGGAAAAGCAAAGTGTTTTCTGTAAATCTAGTAACACTCAAATGTATGGATGTTCTTCTAGTAATTCAGAATTGAAAGGGATTTGATCAGCTGTGATACCTATAATATTCTCTCTATTTCATGTGATCCAGTTTCAGCTACCAGTATCACCATGATGGTGATACACCATCCCCGTGTTAAATTTTTTATGACACAGATGTGATGGCGGTGGATTGCAGAGTCCACTTGATTTTTATCCCCAGGTGCTGAGTGTGGCTTGCAGCACTGACAGACACGGCTGCTTGCCTGTGCTTTTCAGGGGATCTCTTCATAAGGAAAGGGAAAGTTTTAATGTGACTACTGAGACTAGCACCCTTAAAAAATAGTTGCTGTCATCACTCCTGGCATAAATTGAAACCTCTCCCCAAGTCCTGTGCAGAACTTGGCACATCTGTGTCACAGCCAGATCTGGTGTGCTTTGCAGGTGGTTGATAAAGTCAGTCTGCAAATGTAGAAAATCCCACTGAAATTACTTCAGGTTGCAAAACAGCATCTCCCAGCAATGCCACTGCAGTGTGCCTTGCTGTTCAGAAGAGAACATACAGTTATTTGGTGATAACGTTGTTTTTCATAATCATATATGCAAAACATTGAGTGTTCAGCTTTGTTTTCCTAAGACAGAAGTAATTTATCTCCATATAACACCTTGAGGTCAATATTTGCAAATCCAGCTACAGACCATCATGGAGAAGAGATAAATAAACTATAGTTCTTTGAACATGAGCAAGAAAACAAAATTTAGTTCAATTATGGAGTAACTTTTGTATTTTTTTGTTAAATAATTTCTAATTTCAGAGTCGTCCAGGAATCAAATTAGTGCCGAGTACTGGGACTTGTTTTCATCAAGTTCTGAAAAAAGTTTGCTGTGAGGAATCTTACAAATTACAGGGGTCTTTAATATTACACATCAATGAGGTTTAACTAAGTGCTGACCTAAAAACTACATTGGTTAGATATTAGGCCTTTCTACTGACCATGAGTCTTTACAATGAGACCATTGTTTAAAGCTTCCATACCAATGAAGACAGGTAAAAAGTAGATAAAATGCCTGTTAAAATGTTTCCCACAGAACATCAGAAAGGAGTAGGGTGTTTACAAGAGATCAGTGAAAGAAGTCTTGTAGAAAATGCAATCTCTTCAAAGTAATAATACAAGAATATCAGCTAAAATGCAGAATAAATTAGAAAACAATGTCTATTTGTTAGCATGCTTACAATTGGGATGGAGTTTAATTAATATTTTTAATATTTTAATGTAAATTTTTTTAATGTGGCTTGCTTAGCATGTCTCACTTATCACATGTCTCATCTGCAGGCTGTAAAGACACAACATAAACTGTAAATACACTAAAATATTTGGTTTTCAATAGTTGGTGACAGCTTGATGGGAATTTCTCAGTGAATTATTTGAAACAAATGTGCACAATAAGAAAAAAACAAGCTTCAGAAATGCAAGAATTATGAGATGACAAATGTAAGAGTTATACTTTCACCAGATACTCCTCTTTCATCAATGGCTCATAATACACGACTGTGCAAGAAAAGCAGAGCATTTCTCATGTTAACGATTTAGGAAACAAAAGCTTGCATGAACTACTGAAGCTGTGGCATCAGTTTCTGGAATCCTTATTTAAGGGAAAAAAGCAACATTTAAATGGTTAATGCAATTAAAGTTCAATTTGAATTTAATTTATCATGGTGACAGTGGTTAAAATGGAGCATTTGCTGGTGTGAGGACCACAGAATACATCAGCTTGCGTTTTCTAGAGAAATATCACATATGTATTGTTCTTCAGTATGGCATTTCCTCAATGAAATCCTGAAAGAACTTTTGAAAGAGTGTTACCTGGCTTGTGACAAATCTAGATCTCGAGTCATCAGCATACGTAAACCTTCTTCGTTAAAGAAGAGGTTGTTTCCTCCAGACATGATACCACATTTCCTTGATGGCTTTCCACCACTCACAAGGAGGAATCTATCCGACTCCAGCTGACCTGAATATACAGTGAATACATATTTATGATTTACTCTGAAGTGCTCCTGCTGCAAGAGCGCTACTTCTAGAGGAAGAGAGATAAATTAAAAATCACACGCTGACTGAGAAGTATTCAGTGTTTCCAGTGCCATGTATTCTAGAAAGCTCAATACACACAAATCAAAACAAAATAAGCCCAGAAGCATGAGATCTGTGATATTTGTTTCCAGTTATTCACAAGATTTTCTACCTTTCATCATTTATCTTAAGGTAACAACAAAGTACTCAGGTCTATAAAGAAACTTTGGGCTCCAAGTGGTAGCATGCAAGCAAGGGATGGCAAAACTGAAAATGAGCAGCAGCATCTATGAAGGGATAAGTTTGGTTCACAGGTGCTGCTTTATAAAATATGCTCCTCTTGCCATGCTTGCTAGCAGGGGAAGCCTCAAAGGGATTTTAGAGTTGCGTGCATGGATGCAGTGTGCACCCAGGCATGCGTGAGGCTTTGAGTTCCCTCCTGCCTTCCCTCTCTTGGGGTCTGCTGTGGCTGCTGAGCACTGGCTCCTACTACTGAGACATTTGGTCTGCTCTGAAACCTTGTTTGCTGTAGTAGGGAGAGTCAGATTTCCCTTGCAGTGAGAAATGACATGACCTTAAAGTCCTCTGCTGTTTGCCTCCCTTGCAAATGCTCTGTCTGCGCTAAAGCCAAACTACCATCAAAACACAATTTGCTTCCAAGATTATTTTCTACATGTAGAGTTTGAGGAAGTTCTGTTTCAATGAAGATTTTGTAATCCAGCATTAACAGTGCATCAGGCATTCACAAACCACACTTACAAACGGCATCTGAACGACTGGGCTCATGGGTTCCCCATGGCATAAATTCCAATCAGAAGCATGCAGGGGTCAGGAAGGCTTTGCTTGAATCCTGGGCTGCACTAAGATGGACAGGCAGTATTCAGATGCCCCCTCCCAAAAGAGATACCTTCAAAGTCATCCTTGAGGAAGTCAGAGTTCTTGGTGCTTATTTTGCAGGTTGGCCCCGAGTAGCCGGGGTCGCAGATGCACTTGGTGCCGTTGATGCAGCTGCCGTGCCCGTTGCACATCTCCTCGCACTGGGGGCCAATGTACACGTTGTCAATGGCCCAGGTCACAGGCTGGGATCCAGCAGGGTAAAATCCTTGGTACCACCTGAACCTCGCCAACCTGAAAATGGCATGAAGTGTACTTATTTTAAATAATAGTTCCATCTTTTCTTTGTATTCCATGCATATATCATATGCACATATATATTATTCTTTCTGTTGGACCTGGTTTGATAAATAGATTAATTCTAGAAACTGACTGCTAAATCTCATTCCTTCAGTACCTCATGCATCTTTATGTTGATGTTCAACCCAAGTACTGGTAGAAATAAAAATAACACTATTCATTAGCTGTAATCTCAAAACTGAATGACAGATATGATTTTCAAAATTTAAAATCCAGCTACTCTTAACTCCATCATTCATGGGGAAGATGAATGGCCATGGTCTGGTGGATTCCCTTCTGCTTTGGTGTACAGTGTATGGGTCAGACCTGGGCACTTTCACCCTCTACTGGAGAGTGAGATTCTAATTCATACTTCCATTGTGCCCCCGGGGAGACCACCTGTAGGGGCGGAGTGGTAGGATCTCACCCTCAATTACCCAGGAAGAAAACATGATCTGTCATGTCACCAGGTAATCAGCTTGCTTTCAGGCAGCTTAATCTTAAACCAGGCTGATATTGCAAGTTGTTAATTTAAACTGTATTCTCCTTTGGGTGCTGTCCTGTCATTTTTAATTCATCTCCTAAGTGCTACTTGCATCAACGCTGCATATGAAAAGGAACCAACTGGGGAAGGAGGGAAAACAAATTGAGATGAGGAAAATACTTGAGAGACTAATTTTATTCCCAGTTGAGAAAATGTTTTAAGGGAGGAAGGAAACCAGAAGATTGAGAAGGGAGAAGCACTTAATTGCCTTGCGTGTTTAATGTTCTTATTAAAGAGATCTAAATTCAGCAGGCAAATCAATTCCGTAGGTAATTGTAGCTGACAAATTCTTTCCCTGGATTTGCTAAAAAGAAATTTTTATGAGGGGATTTAGGTGACAACCAAAAATTGATGGGTGGGGACACTACTAAGTGTCACAAGAAAGATGCCCAAGAACCACAGCTCTGCTGGAAGTGAAAATCATTGACTTTAATATGCCCTGAGGGGAAAACCATATATGTGAGGCTGGAGGTGTTGTAACCTCCCCTTGAGAGTAGACCTCTGCCTCACAGGCTGGATTTTCTTCCTGCGACAAGTCAGCTCCTTCTCTCAGGGTCACTCCTGGCAAGGGTGAAACATGATTTTCCTCTGGAGCAGAGAGTGAACCACTGCTTATTTGGGGTTTCTTCTCTGGCTCAACAGGCCCTGGACCTTTCCTTCAGGACATAACTGGAATACTAATTATTACCTACAGCTGTCTGATGAGAACATATATTCATTTCTAAAATTACATATGTAGTGGAAATAACTTAAAATGTCTTCATCCTCAGTTAAACTATAACCATTTGGTACTTGGGGGATGAAAAGGCTAGGGGATTTTTTTAGAATTGCACAAGGAGAAAGGTTTGGATTTTTTTCTTGTTATTGCAGTGGATTCTGGTGGAGAAATCCCCCTTCAACCCTCTGGCCCAATGATTTAATGCACTAAATGTAAACTACTCTGCACTGCTGGGCTTGGCTGGCTGTCAGCAATGGGCTTCTGGCCTGGTATCCTGGGGAAGGAATAGGAAGGAAGGTAGAAAAACAGGATAGAAGCACTCAGGAACAGAGGACTAAATCAAAATCCTGGAAGGTTTAAATTAGGAGTTAGGAGTCTGCACAGCCAAAATTTTTATTTGCAGGGATGCACTGATGGCTGCCTAAAGGATAAAATAATTCTTTTGCACAAACCCA